CATACATACATACATACACACACGCAAACATACAAATATACATACATTCATACATACAGAACCATCTAAACATGTCATATATGAGCTTCCACATGTATACAACATGTATACATACGTGCATATGGCCGCGCTTGGCCCTTGGGCTTACTTTCCGGTCTTCATAACCGCATGCTGTACATAGGTAGTGCTCGAAATCAGGGTCCTTTTTTTTGAGTCCCCAACGTAGTACGACACCGTGACACCCTTAATGAAAAAGGGCCCTAAAAGGGACCCTAATCAGGGAACTACCCACATATCTTTTGCATGTCCTTATCGGCGCCTTACAGGTCGGTGACTGGCTGATGATCCGCCGGGGACAACGACGGGGGTGAGCTTAGTATAATGTGCTATCATGTACTTTAATATACCGTAGTCTACTAGTACTATGATATACTAAAAGGTCCGGGTATTGTAATCTGGCATGCAACTCATGCATGCCGATTTAGCACCCATTTCGTGCAATGTTGCTCTATGTTCGGTGATCGCCCATGAGGTGCTTAGATTCAGTGCCAGGCCAATATCCATTGAAACACACAACGGGAAATCGTTTCCAATATTGCCGAAGATTCATCGTAGAGATGACAGGGTCGAGAACGCGAGCTGCTCCATCCTCTCCACAAGGCTGTTCCAGCCCTCCGGAACCCAAAGCTGCCTTGCCTCTTATAACTATGGAAAACCTCCAGGCTTTAGCGGAGGCCTGTATGATTCAATACCCCAGACCCGACTGGACAACACTGATAGCCAACAGAAAACAGCACATCTTTGGCTCGTGGACACTCGAATCCGACTGTGCCACATGTCGTCGCCACGCATGCAGGCTCAACCTCTTCATGCAATCTCCAACTACTGTATGCTCCCTTTGAGATAACTGAAAGGGTCATGCTGAGGGAGAGGTAATTGACCCGGGCATGCTCCCCTGAGATTCGCCCACCATGTTCTTCACATGCCTACCTGTCACAAAACCAAGACCCGCTGCGCCCTCCTCTGAGGATTTTGGGAAAAGCAAGGACCCCAGTTAATCTTGAATAGTACTATAAATTCAAACCCTAAAACCCTAAACTCACCCTAAACCAATTAAAGCCAAAACCCTACCGAAAAGCACACTAAACCCCAGAAGGTAAAATTCTTGAACTCCAAGCCCCAAGATCACCCTAACCCCTGCACCCTTCTTGCCCTGTCACTCCTCGGCGCTGAGGGGCGGCGCGCTCTGCACATGCGGCTCGGCCTCCGCCAGCGGCTCTGGCTTCATCCTAGGGCCGAAGGGGTGTTGGTTTAGGGTTTTTTTTTACACCTCTTTTCCGTCAGCCCAAAAGGTCTCAGGTTGTTTTTTTTTTGGTCACCCCTTTTCCTCCTGAGCTGTTAACTAAGTCGGAGTGCCTCAAAGGCTGAGGTTTTGGCACCAGCTTCGGGTCGAGGGGATTCACCACCACTACACCACTTAAGGCTTAGGGTTTAGGGTTTAGGGCCTTGATTCGGCTGAAGGGGTTTGAGGTCTCGAGGCTTTTGCCGATGTGCGGAAGCTGAAGATCTGTATCCATACTTATACCTGTATCTTTATGTGGGCTTAATTTAGGGAAAATACCCATATATGTGTGCATGTGGTGTGCATATATGGTGGTTGTTAAAAAAACACTTATCTGGGAACGGCCAGCGGAGTTTGCACGGAGCTTATTTACGGCCATACGTGTACACATATACATATATTACATATGCATATACATGCAGTATATATGTATATGCATATATACATATATACACAGATATACATATACATATAAATACATCATACATGCAGTTTACATGCAGTATTTGTAAATACATACGCCCATTCCATATACATATACGCACATGTGCATATACAGAAATATAGAATCTGTATCTGTCGGCATACACATGCTCATACTCATCTGATCTGATGTACTCGCCATGACTTAAAAAGGAAGGTTGAAGAGAGCGTTTGAATGTTGGGGGTTGTAGGCGCCGGGTATTGCGTCGCAGCAACACACCGGAGGCCCCCTCAGCCCTAAGACCGAAATCTCAGCAAGCAACCAGATTCGAACCACAGCTCCTCCCACACATACTACCTGTATCATATAAATATAAATAAATAAATAAATATATATATATATACACTATGTGTTTGTGGATTATACTTGCAATAAGTATATGATATTGGTAATTGCACAATGGTGATCAAGGTGTCTTGGTTTTGGATCCGAGGCTTGTTCGAGTGGCCAGTCCAGGAGAGAGAGGGTTCTTGGAGTGCTGCGTGGTGCTTCTACGGCTCGCTTTGGAGTCATTGCTGCAGTATCGCTCTGCTCAACTTTCACTACTGCATACCGCGGCTGCTACACATTTGGGGATCTTTCGGGGTCCTTGAAATCCATCCGGTGTCCACCGACACGACGGCCACGCCGGAACGGCTGAATTCGTCAGCGACAGAGCAAGTCATCATGTTCAGCGAGGCTTTGGCCATGTTGGTGTGGGGGTGATTGGCACCCTTGGATCCGAGTGTACGGAAAGACCCCTCCTGCGAGGAGACGTTCACCACGAAGCGAACATGCTTTATCAGTTGCCGACGCTTTTCCAGGATGTCGGATCTTGGAGTGAAATTACGGTTTGGGAACGTGTCCGCCGTGCTCAGAAAGTCGCGCGGGTGCTCCAGCACAAACGGGCGACGGCGAGAAACTGGGTTCTGGCCCTCCTTCGTCTCCGTGTCCACCTTCATCAGCTTGCAGGCACGCGATAGGCAGGAAAGGGAAATTTCTCCAATACTTTCCGTTTTAGCTGTCATCATGGTTGAACTATCTGTTGGATTCTTGCCCAAAGCTTAAACAAGCCAGGTCATGCAAAAAGGGTGCACAGCTTGCTAGAATGAAACATAATGAAACATGTATTTGCAGGCTCGGCTTCCGCGGGGCAAAACATCTTAGCCAGAGAGGGAAACCTGCGGAGGGAGTAGAGTTTCTTGTTCGGGCCCTTTTCTATATCGGCACGAGCTTTAGAGTTGCGGGGTTTGGGTTTGTTCGACTGTGTGTTAACGAACGTTCCATGCTGCACCTCCAACGGGGAGCCAGCTGGTAATTACTGACTAGAACCAACATCGCAGATTTGATATCTTTGTACACCGGAAGCAAGTGAGAGGCCTCCTTTGGCAGCAAGGAAGACTTGAGCTCGCTCAGCAGCACAAACGGTGCCGTGACGTTGATCACTTGAACCTCCACGCTCTCCACCCATGAAACCTCGATTTCCAATGATCAGGGCCCCTCCCTTTCAGTCCGAGACGCTTTCGGCACCACCCACCTCACCGATCTTTGCAGTCCAGCTGGTCTCTGCCCGCAAATCCTTTGTCTCCGGGACTGGCAGCTGGGCATCGGAGACCTGAACCGGCGCGGTTTCTGTGGCCTCGCCCTCGAGGAGGTACTTCAGGTCGGGCGCGCCGCTCGACAACTGCCGCAGCCGGCCCTCAAGCTGGGCGTCCAAGGGCGTCTGCTCCGCCTCACGGGCGTGCATTCGTCATTCGGATGTTTACAGTCATATAGCTTTATGTATGTATATACACATATATATACATA